TGACAGCAGAAGACTTACCTTAGTGGAGATGAATCCCAAGGTGCTTTTGTAGAATCAGAGAATCACACAACATCCTGAATTGGCAGAGAACCACAGAGGTCATTGAGTCCAACTTGTGTTCCCACACAGGACACCCCAAGAATCCCACCATGGGCCTGAGGGTTTTGTTCAAATGCTATCTGAACTTTGGAAGGTTGGGGCTGTGACCACCACCCTGGGGAGCCTGTTCCAGTGTCTGACCACCTTCTGGATGAAGAATCTTTTCCAAGGATCTATCCTAACCCTTCCCAACACAGCTTCATGCCATTTCCTCTGGTCCTGCACTATGTGAAATTTCTCTTTGATTCTGCTGTGTCCACTGAGCTTGTGAACCTTACATACACACCAAAAATGGAAATAAGACTTTTAATACACACATTCATGGACCAGAACAGATTTATTTCTTTACCAACACAGCCATAGTTATGATTAGTACTTCTCTCACTTCTTTATTCCTCAGGCTGTAAATCAGGGGGTTTAACATGGGAATTATGGTTGTGTATATGAGAGCGAGGACTTTCTTAGTGTCTTGTGACTTACTGGGAGTTGGTAAATAATTCAAGGTCCCACATGCACAGTACAGTGTTACAACAATAAGGTGTGAGGAACAGGTGGAGAAGGTCTTGTGTCTGCTCTCTGCAGAGGAAATCTTCAGGATGCTGGAGATGATGCAGGCATAGGACACGAGGATGAGGCAGAATGGCATGCAGATGACCAGCACTGTGGCTGTAGTGATCTGCTTTTCATACAGAGAGGTGTCAGTGCAGGAGAGCAGGATGAGTGGGGGAATGTCACAGAAGAAGTGGTTAATCTTCCTGGGCCCACAAAAGGGCAGTGTAAACACCCAAGCTGTCTGCACCACAGACACAACATTGCCACTGCAGCAAGACAGCAGGACCAAGGAAAGGCAAGCTCTTGGGTTCATGATGAGGGTGTATCTCAGGGGGTTGCATATGGCCATGTAACGGTCATAGGCCATGGCTGCCAAAAGGTACCATTCGGTGGCTCCTGAGAAAACCACACAGTAGAGCTGTGTCACACAGCCCATGTAGGAGATGCTCCTGTCCTCTGACAGGAAGCTTACCAGCATCTTGGGGACAACAGTCGATGCTGCAGAAACATCCAGGAAGGACAGGACCCGGAGAAAGAAGTACATGGGTGTGCAGAGCGTGGGGTGCACTGTGACCATGCAGATGAGAAGGTTCCCAATGACAGTCACAGTGTAAACTAAGCAGAAAGTGAAGAACAGGAAGTGCTGCAGTTCTGAGTGGCTGGAAAATCCAGAGAGGACAAATTCAGTCAGCAGAGTGTGGTTTCCTGATTCTGTTTCCTCTGTTGACTCCATCTGGGAAGAATCAAGTGGACAGACTGTCAGAGCTCAAAGAGTCTCTTGGGAATGGCTGGAGAGCTGCTGGATCAAAGGGTGTAACTGTAGAACAGGCTGAGCTGAGCAAAGTAAGAAGACAACAGCTGTGCTGGGAGTGTGCAGTATCAGTGCCCTCCAAGTGTCATCGTTCAGGGCAGTGACCAAGCCTTCGACCACGAGGAGTTGGCATTTAAGGGTTGGCTCCATTCTGGGTGTAGGATTAACTGTCAAGAATATGTGCTCCCCCCAAATGTCAGGTCTGTGCTCCCCGTTGGTCCCACAGGCACTTTGTGCAGTGAGGGAACACCCATCTGACAACTGGAACACCCACAGACCCAAGAAAGAATAACCATCTTGCTCTGTAGGGAGCAGTGGGCATTGCTCCCTGCACTCTGCTGGCACCCGGCTGTTTTTACTGACAGGGTGGGAGCTTCCTCCAAGATACCTGAAGTTACCTTTAGGGCAACTTAACTTTAGGTGAAAGCCAGGGAAGCTCAGGCTGTGGGGGGCTTTAGCTCACATTCACATCACTCCCCAGGTGTCAGTGGGACAGAAAGACTTCAAAGAGCCCACCTCTGGGGACAGCACCCCCAAATGGAGCAAGCAGAATCTGTGAAGGGAAGACCTAAGCCCAGCTGACAACACCCACAGACCAAAGAAGGCAGTACCAAAGTAAACCAAACCCAAATTCTGTCTGTAGGCAGGCAAAGGGAGAAGGAAAAAGTACAGGGAGAGGTGCTGACAGAGAATGGTAAGAAAGTACAGAGGGTGAAACTCAGCACCATTGTCTTCATTAGTGACATTCCCCCATTCTCCTGAGCAGTTTTGCTGCGGGTGCAAGGCCAGGGGCAAATTCAGACAGTGCTGGGCCAGCCGTGGCAGCTCAGTGTGCTAGCAGTGTCCAAGATGGGAAACTGATGCACTGAAAGAGAAAAGAAATTACCTGACCCAGGGGAGGAAGGCGTTGTTAGTTGTGTGCCCTTCAGATGTGTCACCTCAACAGAGCTGGCACATAGAGAGGGACACACAGGCAGAGCAAGGGCAGGGCACACAACCCTGCCATGACTCACTCGCTCCTCGAACTGACTCCCTCTAGTTTCTCTTTTGGCTATAACCTGCCCTCTTTTGTCTGTGGGTCTTTTGACATGGACACAAAGGTGCAAGCTGGGGATCCTGGAGCCACAGGCAACTTGAACCTGCAGTCATAATAAATGAACTCCTAAAATTCTCAGACAGTTAATGATCTGGTGTATTTATAAATAATCTTTCTGGGTTTGACTGATTCCATTAACATAGAAATGAAAGAAGACTCTTTTGAGTGGTATCCCAATATAGCCTGTGCATGACAGATAGAGAATGACTTAAAAAACTCCCTGCATTCCCCACTGGCACACATTCACACTGGTTTTCTTAACTTGTTAGATCCATGTGGCTGAAGTGGAAGCTTCTTAATTCATCTCTTCAAATCCATATGAAAGTTTTAGGCTATTGCTTTGAGCATTAGTTCTTTATTCAGAGTGTCCCTGGTGGTGCAGTGGCTAAACCACAGCGTTGTCAACGCTGAGATCTGGGTTCGATTCCCGGTTAGGACACTCCCCGGGCAGATGGAGCTCGCTAGCCCTGTAAGGCAATCCATCTACGTCCTGAGGACCTCGCTGCCACCGTCCAAGTGCGCTTGGCCCCAGCAGATGAACCTCAGGATTAAAGGGTGGGCTCAGTTCCGCGCACACTGTGTCTCACCTAAAAAATCCAATGCGCAGGCTGGAAGGTGGAAAGACCTTCCCCGGTTCTTCGTTCGCGAAGAGACTGGCCATTATTCCATTAGTTCTTTATTCAAGTCAACATCACTCACAGCAGTCATTGTTTTACTGACAGTTTTATTTGCTAACGAACACCTCTCAGACACAACTCTCAATTTGTGTAATTCGTGTAGTGGCTCTGAGGCCCTTTAAGTTTTGGCCTTAGTTCTTCCTTGGATTTCCTTTATACATTCACAGTAAACAGTTTGAAGTAAAGTGTCCTACCTTCAGCGGTTCTGCCATCCAGTGCCTTCAATCTGTGTCATGCAAATTTGGATACAAGTATTTCCCTTGTTTTCTTACATTAGGGACAGCGTTGGGCTGATAATTCCCACAGTCAGCTTATGTTGCAGGTTAAAAGTTATAAGTGCAAATGATCTCCTGCCACAGCTTGGATAATCTGTTGACATTAGTACAGGACATACTCCATAGAAAGTCAGCCAAAGCCTTGCCTCACAGAGAGGAAGCAAAGAAATTGGTTAGATTTGTTTCAACTCACTCGAATTGGCTGCAGCTGAAAAGGCAGCAACCTCAATGCATCTCTTTTTTTTTTTCCCCAAGAAATGAACAGCTGAGCTGCCTCTGACACAAGACTCACTCCAGGTTTAAGTAGTCTCTTGAAATCTCTAATTCCCCTGTGGGTGGGATTGATTTCAGCTAATTTTAGACCGGTCAGGGATGGTTGTTCAGAACTATGCTGCCTCTGAGGGCAAGGGGATGTCCCCAACCAATTACACACTTTACAGTAGCAGTTAAAATGCTATTCCAAATGGCAGCTTTCCCTCCCTTGCCTGTAAAGTGGGAAAAGAGAGACTCTTTCAGGCATAGGCATGTTATTTCTTACATGTCTAACTATATACTGTGCATCCTAAGGGAGCTCATGATCAATTTTTAACCTAAAAGCTCTAAGAAATATCTGGGAACATCAGGGGATATGTGACTCCAAGGACAGAATTAGCCTGCTGCAACCTCCTGCCTTTGCTTAATTTGACTGGGAGCCTTTAGGGACTGTGCTGTCTCTTGTAGAAATTTCATTCAACTCCAGCGACTCACATTTCAATCTTCAGTCTTAAATGACCACTTTGTCAGCTTTGAATCATTTACTCCTGTGAGAGGCTCAAATGACTCAAAACAACGAGCCATCTGAGGGGAGTTTTGCTGGGGCCGGTTTTGCACCCCCTGTACGAAGGGAAAGAGGAGAGTATTTTGTGCCTGATGGTGAAAACTCTGCAAGACAGAAACCTCTGTAAGACAGAGGAGGTGAGCACCCAGCACTGGAGATGGGGTTTTGAGCCAGGTAAGGGAGAAGGTTGACAAGAAGCAGACCCTGCAGAGGCAGGATAGTGCATTTTATCATGCCAATTGCCATCCCTTTCACAACTGGCTCAGTTGAAGAACTGCCCCCACCCTGGGGAATGTGTTGGGACATTCACATCATTCATCACTTCTAATGGGGCACAACTGGCTCAGCTATGCTGATGTGAGACAGCTGTCCTGTCTTAGAAGAACTCAAAGGCCCCTGAAGCACCCCCAACTCATTTCTGCGGCTTCCATGAGAGGACTTAACATGATCCACAGTGTTACATCAGACAGTGTAAAATGCCCCCTGCCCTGCCAGGGAGGGACCTGGGTGTTCCACCCAAGTCTGAGCGTCTATTAACCCACAGAACTTTGTGCTTTGACCAGCATCAAATTGCAACAACAAAGCCTTTTTGCAGCATCCTTGTGTGATGAGATCTTTCTACTCTTATCCTTTCTTTCTCTTTCTTTTCCCTTACACATTTTTATTGTGTTATTTTCATGCTTTTATGTTGCTGTATTACTATAGATAACAATAACCAAAATCTGCTTTCCTTTGCACCCAAATTTTTCAAAAACAACCCCCAGTGTATATCTATCTATCTATCTATCTATCTATCTATCTATCTATCTATCTATCTATCTATCTATCTATCTATCTATCTATTTAGAAACACCAATCATTCAGTGTTGCTTCACTCTAATCTACCCCAAGGGATCTATTAACAAGAACCTGAGTTGCCCTCTGGGGTGCGTTATAATTGCTCCTTTCCCTTGCGTTGCCTTACTTTGTCTTGCCTTGCATTACCAGTCTTCCTTTTCCTTCCCTTATTTCCCTTTCCCCCCTCCTCTTCTTCCTTGCTTCCTTCTTTCTTTCATGAATCTACAAAAATCAATACAATTAATGCTTGTGCTGGTTTAAAAACCCAGTGGAGAAATTAACCCCACTCAAGCTGCCCCCTTTCCATAGCAGAGGAAAAATAATAAGAGAGGTTGTAAGTTGAAATCACAATTTACTGAGGAAACCACAAGAATCGTAACAACAATAATAAAAGATTGCACAAAAAAGGGAATGGTTTACCCACAAAAAAGGTTATCCACCACCACACAAATAGACACTCCCTCAAGAGAGTGCCCAGTGAGTTTTCTTCCAGCCTGTTTATTTTTTCCAGCCTGGAAACAAAGAAGAGACAGGAACCAACCAAAACCTGGAGAGACAGTTCATCCAGAATAAAGAGTTCTGCTGCTGAAATGCTGACTCTGATGGCTTCCCCCGGCTGTGCTCCACTGGGCTGCCACTTCAGCAACACAAAAAAGGTCTGCAGTCATGTGGGAAACAGGAGGGAGGACCAGCAGAGGACCCAAATCTGCCAGGGTCGATGGGGAGCAGTCCCTCTGCTGGGACCAGCCAGGCAAAATGGCAAACTCCTGCTTCTGGCTCTTGGCTTTTCCTGCTGAAAACCACATCCCTGCTGTGACGTGGGTGGTGTGGAATAAACAAAGCTAAAACTCTGCCTTGTATCTCTGCACCTACAACACTGGTTATTTCCTATCAGTTGAAGAAGGGAAAAAGAACCAAACAGACAAAAATCAGATTTTAGTGGAATTACTGGAATTAAATTTCATTTCACTTTTTCACTTTTGTTTCTCCTTTTCTCCTTTATTGTCACAGCTAAAAGATCTGGATTTCAATATTTGTCTTCATTATTTCCCATGATCTTCCCCATCTATTGCTATGAAGAAGGTGTCAGCTTCAACCAACCATTAATGGATCCTTTAGACTTGACTGAAAATCAGAAATGTTTAGATACGAACAACTCAAGTTTTGTTGTCTGAAGGCAGTTTTTGCTCAGAAATGTAACTGTAATGCATATTCTTCCTTAGTAATTCTGTTGCCAAGGAAAACCAGCCAAAATTTGTTATTCTCTAAGAACCCTAAATCTTATGTCTTCACTAAATGAGTATGTGCTTCAGCTGTGCTCTTATACACTTTAGAAACACACAATCAATCTCAATACATCATCAATACTGACACCCAGCACCTAGAAGACACAATATTTAGCTTAAACCATCTCACAGTTTTTGTGTTGAA